CCCCACCTTCACGGAAAATAGACGAATGTTTTGTCGGAAATTTAGGAGGCTTTGCCCCCTCGCCCCCGAAAAAAGTGAATTCCCGCCACTGATGTAAAACCGGGATCGACCAGAGACCCAAAAGCCCAGGTAAGGGGGTCATTTTGTACCCTAGTGATTTTCTATCGTCAAAGATTCTTGAAGTTATGATATGCTCTTTTAGAGATTGAATTCCATATTCTTGGAACCTCGTCCCCAGGGCATTTTGCCTCCACGGCTGAAGGTCGGCGAAAATGGCCCTGGGATCGGCTGGTCACATGACACCCAGAATTTCTGGGTGTTTTGATATGCCGATAATGTGTGTGAAACTAAATCTTTGTTGTTTGTTTACAAATAATAAATGAGAAATAATGGTGCAATTTGCCAACTTATTCATCTATGATTCATCTAAATTCTAATTTATTTTTACGGCAGTATGCTTGCATATTTTTTCTTATATCCATGAGTCCGACAAACACATTGCATGTCAAGTATAGCGGCATTCTCGTCCCCAGGGCCACGCTCGTTGCTCCACTCCTCCACTGAACGAGAGCAACGAGCGTGGCCCTGGGGATGAGGATGGTATAGCGGACGTAACTCACGTAAGCGAATCTTGACTATACTCTCGGACCGGTATTTCCTTTAGTTTGCCGTATAATTTGAAACCAAAAATGTTTTAAAGCACTAGAGTTGTTTGGATAAATAATGGTACTGCAAAAGAATTAATGCTTTTGTACAGACCAATTCCGAGTGTTGAATTGACCAGCCGATCCCAGGGCCGACCTTCAGCCGCGGAAGCAAAATGCCCTGGGTCGAGGTTGATATTCCAGTTATTTCCTTTGGTTTGGAATCTTGACATAACATTTTCAATGCGTATTCTGTGCATAAACAGTTTCGGGTTTCCGGGCCGTTCTTTACTGGGAAAACCTTAAAATCTGGAGTCCTTAGAATAGCAATTCCTATATTCTGCAAGAATATTTAACTGTGGTTTCTATGCACATTTTACTTTATCCTTATTTGGGGCCACCTTTAGCTGGGGCCGCAGGGCAGTAACAGTAACAGTAACAAATGGCTTTATTAGCATGACTTCACATACAAGTATTGCTAAAGCTTATTAGTTAATTATAAATAGTTACAAATGCAAAATGTTCTGTGGTAATATGACACTGTGAGTAATACAAGAAATAACTAGAGGGCACTCAGAGACTGCATACCTCCGCCTACGCGCAAAATATTGAAGTAATCTATTGTTATTAGAATTTGAATGGCTGGTGCATATATTATGCACGTCCTAATTACGCATTCAGTATAAAGTTTTATTTAATTGACCGAGAAAAGCAAGACAAACTTTTGTTATTTCTCATTCAATTTTTAACCAAATTCAACCAAATTTTAATCAGTTCTTCCTTAGCCGATGGGAAATGCACGCACAAAATTTCGTACGGATATGTTTGGTATTTCTCACATAACACACATACATACACACATACATACACACACACACACACATACACACACACACACACACACACACATACACATACACACACACATACAAACCCAGAAGATTACATAACCTCCTGGCGGAGGTAAAAATGAAGTTATTGATATAAAGAAAGGCATAGTTAACAAATGAATACTCTATTTACAGTATACAGTATATGTAATTGAAGAAGTTTGGGAGTTAGTTCGATAGCCTATTGACTGTCAGCATTCCGAGCTTCAAGGCATTTAGATCTCTTCTCAAAACATAAAGAGATAAATTTTGATAATTTTATCCCGGTTTCTTTATCAGTTGATATCATTATCTCAACTGATAAACTGTGTTCGTTTAAATCTGTTTCATTGGTGGGATCACTTTCCAAGTCATTTAAAAAGTTTTCTCGGAGACTACTATAGGCTTCACATGCAGGATGTTAGGAAGTGATGTTCCGTTTCAATTTCTCCTGCCTGGCAGACCTTGCATATTCGGTCTTCTCGCGGAATGTTTTCGTATCTACCGAGTTCAATCATTAGTTTATGGTTACTTAGTCGGACCTGTGTTAAACGTTTTCTTTGGTTTGAATTAGTTATGGCAGTCAAATAAGTTTCAAGCTCATAGTCTTCCTTTATGCTTGTGTAGAAGGTAAGTTTGGATGAGTTTTAAAGTTTATGTCTCCAGAATCTCTGGTAGTTTTCTTTAGTATCTTTAACGCATGATTCAACTAGATTGGGCAAATTGCCCCTTTTGCCCCCCCCCAGGCAGCCCTGAGGGGGTCTATAAAAGGGGTCAGTCGTTCCGCAAACTGTCGTATTTTGTTCCCCTTCACCGTTATATAACTGCCAGTATTTCAATTGAAATCCGCCCAGAAATTTGAAATTATACTCTCAATTTCGCAAAGCCGCTACAATCCTGGAAAAAATATATGGAGACTATTTGTTAATTCCACAAAAATATATTATAAAGTGTTAAAATCGTACATTTTCCTCTAAATAACTTAGTGAATGATCTTGAATGCTAAATCCCCCCCCCCCCCTTCCCCCGGAACAATGTTGAATAAAATGAAGTCACTTTCCAACATGCATCGCATAAATAGCAATATTGTGTCGGGGGGAAGGGGGAAACGTTGAGAAATTGAAAAAGTCTACTAATTTTTTTCCAGGATTGTAGAAGTATCCAGTTTTTGATATATTGATATAGTTTGATATATATGCAAATTGGGTAAAGGCATTAAGCGTGCAAAAGGCTGATTTTTTAGGGAAAGAACGTGCAGGCAATACTTCGATAACTGAAACATATACCTAAATAATTGTGATTTCCGTGTGTTTATCTGTTTCTACGATAAATGGATTACCTTAGAAACGTATGGAAAAATTTAAGTGAAACAAGAACGAAAAAGCTATTATTAGTAATATTCCTGAGGTTCAACAACTATATATGATGTGCCAAAACGATTTATTTAAGGTGGCTGGGAATAGAATCCACATAAAAGCACTAAATTAAATTAAAAATGTCAAACTGTCAGTGTACTCACCTAAATTATTTCAGGTGTATCGAGCCACCTTAATAGAATCTCGTATTAATTACCCGTTTCGGCGTTTCAGACATAGACTATCTCATATATCTATGGTTTCAGATAATGTGAAGGTTGCACTTCTGATTACTCTGTCTTCATATATATTTTATATTTGAATATGAATGAAAAATGGTCCAGCAAGTAGTGTATTAATTAGATATACACGCACACCGTATATCTCCAAATATAAGCCCTGTCAGGCTTATATATATATATATATATATATATATATATATATATATATATATATATATATATATATATATATATATATATATATATATATATATATATATATATATATATATATATATATATATATATATATATATATATATATATATATATATATATATATATATATATATATATATATATATTATTATTATTATTATTATTATTATTATTATTATTATTATACAATATTAGATACTTCCAATTGGGCTTTTCAGGATCTAATTACAAATATAAAATTCTATATCTATAAAAGTATCTAAAAATGAATTTTGAGTTTTGACCTAAGGTATAAAATAGGCTATAGTTCTAAAATATTCTATAAATCTGTTAAACACCACTTACAGTTAAAAATTCTTCTAATAACATACGTTTGTATTCTACTTTAAAATGAGTCAAAGTATCAATGTTTTTAAGAGACTGAGGCAGAGAATTCCACAAGGACACAACTCTATAGTGAAATGTTCGTTGACCCGCAGCTGATCTGTACATTGGTATATCCAAAATGTTCTTTTGCCTTGTGTTAACGCCATGAACATCTGACCTGACATGGAACTTCTCACGCAAATACAATGGTGCCAACCCCTTCAAGCATTTGAAAGCAAAAATGGCTTCTCTTAATTTTAACATGTATTTAACTGGAAGCCAGCCCAGTTGTTGCAGAACAGGAGTCACGTGATCGTATTTTCTTGTTCCTGTAACAATACGTGCAGCAAAGTTCTGGACCGCTTGAAGTTTCTCGATATTTCTTTGGGATGTATTAGACCAAACAGCAGAGCAGTAATACATTTTGCTAAAAATCAGGGAATTTATAATAAGAATTAATGTTTTTCTGTCAAAGATATGTTTAACTCTGCTAATTTGGCCCAATCCAGCGATACAAGATGAAACAACGCTTGCGATATGTTCGTCGTAGCTCAAACATGAGTCCAATATCATCCCTAAATCCTTTGCAACAGCAACTGGAGTAATATTCTCACCAAGGATAGTTATTTGAAAATTTTCAGGTACCTGTTCTAACATTTGCCTAGTACCTAATATAAGCAACTTAGTTTTTTCTGGATTCACCAATAAACTGTTAAGACAGCACCAGGCGGTAATTCTTCTCATGTCTTCAGTGAGTTTCATAGCTGCCAACTCGGCATCCCTGATTGAGAATGCTAAATATATTTTTGAGTCATCCACGTACGACTCCAAATTGGACTCCTTGGGTACACCAGGCAAGTCGTTGATATATACATTAAATAACACCGGACCCAGTATCGATCCCTGCGGAACACCGCGAGTTATTTCACATTCATCAGATAACACTGACGCAATACGTACTGATTGGCACCTGCCTGTCAAATAGCTTTTAAACCAAAACAACGCAGGCTTCGAGATTCCAATATTCGAAAGTTTTCTTAGCAGAATGAAATGATCTAAGCTATCAAAAGCTTTAGACAAGTCCAGTAAGAGTAAAGCAGTCACTTCTCTACGATCCATGCACTGGAGAATTAAATCTGAGATGAATATGTTTAATGTTTCGGTTGAATGTAACTTCCTATTTCCACTTTGATGTTTAGTAAATTTTTTCTTCTTTGTCATATACTCTGTTAGCTGTTTCAATACCATGCGTTCACAGATCTTTGATGCAGCCACTAACCAACCTCGTTCCCAGGGCTTTTCCCTTTTTGTCACTGGGAAGGCGGGAAAAGGCCCTGGCACCGGCCGGTCTTCTATGTATTCTGATTGGTCAATGACAAGTACATTATTATGCAAATAATACAATCTTGGATTAATTTATTCAAACTTTGGAATAAATTAATATTTCATGCAAGGAGTGCATTATTAATACTTTGTCCGTCTAAGAAATATTTTTGGCAAAATCTTTGGCAAAATGGTTAAATTCGATAAGATTTATACACAATTTGTCGAAGGTTAGTATTATTGTTTGTTTTAAACTGTGAGAGAAGATTAATTGTGTAGTAGAACACACCTCTGAGGCTCTGACCGAGTATTTAGGGCAAAATGTGCCTTCATATTTGGCTTCGTATAGCGTTTTATAATGTTTATATTTATAAAACTAAAGTCTGGGTTATAAACTGAAACATGACCTTTAGTTTTTGATATTCTTCATAGTCGAGTTTAAATTGGCCTAATTTATAGTTAGTTACCACTAGAAATGCGACGATATTTTGTTAATATATCATATATGCAACAGTGTTTACAATTACTTTTGAATAATAAGTGATTTGGTTTTGTTTCAGATACTATTACATGTTGCTTCATTTTACCTAGGCCTCGGGCCACTAACAACGTCTGCGCAGGAGGCTACATTTTACCATAAATTGTATTAAAAAAGTGATTTGCTCATTTGGCTGATGTTACAGTTTTCTGATGTGTTTTGTTTGGATGATATTAGAACAATTTCAATATGAAAGTGCAGGTGTCATTAGACATGAGCCATAATGTATATATAAAAATACTGATAAAAATACTGACATAATACTGATAAAATCCGTATCCAGCTTGATTGTATTTGCATTTGTTGTATTTGCATTTGTTGTATTTGCATTGTTGCAGACAAAGTTGTGCAATGGTGG